CAGGAGAGGGGAAGGGAAGGCGGCTCAAGCGCACGAAGGAGCCGGACGGGGCCCGACGAAGAACGACGGCCCAGGAGGAAGAGGCCCACAGAGAGGCCAGGAAGCCCCGGCGGGACACCGCACAGGGCCGGAGAGCTCCCTCACAGGACCCCCACGGCCTCAAGCCGGACTCTCCTGTTCTTCTGGTTCCTCTCGGCGACGCCCAATGCGTGCGCCGGCGTGGGGAGTGTGCGTGCGCGCGCGTGTGTGAGATGAGGATTGTGGCAGGCTGGCTGCTGCTGATGTGGGCAAGTGTGCTCTGTGTGCGGCGCTGCGCTGGCGTGCGATGCGCGCGTGCTGTGCGCGTGTGCGTGTTGGAATCGCGCGTGCGTCTGCGTGTGCTGCGCGCGCGCCGGCGTGTGCTGTGCGCTGTGCTCTGTTGTGCGCCTGTTTGTGCAGCTGGGAGGCGCAGCTTTGGCTGGCAGGGCTGCGCGGTGGGCTGCGGCGTGCTGCGGGTGGTCGCGCGCCTGCCTGATGGTGTACGGCGGCCGCGCAGCCCGCCCGACCGGGTCGTCGGCGGCCCAGGGCGCGAGCATGCGGTCGGCGCTGCATGTGAGGCTGCTGCGCGGCTGGCGCGTATGTTTCCGTGTGGTGAGGGACGCGCGTATGTGTTCACGCTGCGGGCGCGGGCGGGCGCGGGGGGCGGCGCGGTCTCACCGCGGTCCGACGTCGGTTGGTCTTCGGCGTGGCGAGGGCGGGCGCGCAGAGAGGCCTTGCCGCCATCGCGTTGCCGCGAAGGAAAAAGAAAAAACTCATAGGGAAGCCTGATGAGGTACTGGTTTCTTTGCCCAGGGCTGGCCTACGGCCCGTGCTGGATCAGCTGAGCAAGGTTTGGGGAGAATCCCCCGGTCAGATCTTCAGATATTTTGATGGATGACCGAAAATGGGCAAAAACGGGATGATATCTCTCTCTCTCTCTCTCTCTCTCTCTCTCTCTCTCTCGCACACACACACACACACACACACACACACACACACACACACACACACACACACACACACACACACACACACACACACTCACCATTCGCGGATGGTGTACGCTTGAGATCGTCGAGAGAATCGATGTCTGCGGGTCGAGACCAAATGCCAGGGGCAGCTGGGGGCAGGGCCATCCTCGGAGTACTCGACGGCCTCGCCGCACAGAGACTGTATGTCGTCGGCCAGCGTGGGGAGCAGCGGGTGCGCGTCTCGGTTGTTGAGCCACCGCGCCGAGCCCGCGTCAAAGTCGTACCGGAGCGGGCCACGCACCGTGGCGCCCACACACACTCGTCCCGCCTCGTCCTGCCCGTCCTGCTTAATCTGCCCACATGCCATCGAAGCCAGCTGCTCCCGCTCGGCCAGCAAAACCCGCCTACAAGCTGCAGGGCTCGCGCAAGCGTCGTCGGCACTGCACTGGCTTGCGGTTGCTCGCGCTGCTCGGCGCGCTCCTGGCCGCCGGTGCGGCAGCGGCGTTCCACGCGCGGCCGCAGCTGTGGGACACTCTCAAGGAGGCGGCGGGTCTCCGGCGGACGCGGCGCTGGGCGAAGCTGGCGGAGCAGCAGGCGGCCGCGGCGGCCGCGACCACCAAGAAGGCAGAAGCGGCGCCGTCCGTGGCGACGCGCCTCTTTGAGCGCGCCGCCCTGCCGCTAGTCCGCGAATACATCATTTCGCACTATGACGACTTTGCGGCCTCCAAACTGACGTTTCGCGACCTGAAGGAGCACCTCGGGAGCGCGATGGGGATGACCTACGAGGAGCTCAAGAGCGACGAGCTCTCTGCAGTGATTGAGGACGCCGTGGACGCCATCTCCACAAAGTGCGATAGCGGAAAGACGGACCGGGAGCAGTGCGCGTCAATGCTGGGGTATGTCCCGACGGGCGAGGCGTAGAGGGTCGGGCCCATACACCAGACCGCTCCACTAGAACGCACCGACGCACCAGAATCGCGGCGCCAGTGTTTGAATCCGGCCGTTGACACAGCCGTTACACACGGCTGAAATCAGGGCCAACTCGGCGCATTCAGATTCACACCTCTGCACGGCACCTCTGTTCACGCCTTTATATGTTGTCACACAAAAGCGGTGTGTCGGTGTCGAGGGCTCGGCGGGAGCCGGGAGGCGTTTGAGAGAGAGCCGCACACCCGCACGTGCCGCAGGCGGCATGTTTTGCGAGTATATGGGACACGATGTCTCAAATATGAGGGGTTTTGACTCCTACCGGCTCCTGACGCTATTCCTGGCAGCTCTTATGACCAGGATCAGTAGTGCTATGATACAGGGTGCCCATGCTAGCGCAGGAGCTGCCACACTCGCCCGGACCGTCCCCTTCTGGGGCCGGTTCCGCAGCCCGCGAGAGCCGACAGCGGGGCCGTGCCGCGGGTGCCTACTGCCGAGTGCCACAAACACTGCGCCGTCCCGCCATCACCTACAGGCTGTCTTGTGTGATGGTTGGGATGTCCAAACGCCACCATCTTGGCTCTTGCGACCTCAAACCCTCGAGCTGTATGGGTGGTCCTGACGTCGACAGACGCCCAATGACCACGGTGAAGCTGAGCCGGAACGCGTCGACAAGTCTCGCCTGAGCCCGTGGCGGTCGCCGGCTGGGTCGCTGTGCACGGGCCGGTACCTCAGGCGTCACCTCCGCAGCCTCAGGTCTCACACTCCATCACCTCCGCCAGGACGCTGTCGGTGGCACGCTCGGCGGCGAGTTTGTGGCAGCCCCACAGCGAGCGCGGCGTCGAGCCTAATCGGTCTGGTCGGTCGGCCGCACTCACCGGGTGCCAGGGAGTGCGGCCGACACGCGAGCGGTGCTTCCTGGCAGCGCGCGCCGGCTGTGGGGCTGCCACAAACTCGAGACACGCTTTTTTGGGACATTTTCGACGCTTTTGTCCCATATACTCGCAAAACATGCCAGGCACACGGTGGCCTGTCCCGCGTGTATGTCCGAGTGACCACAGACCCTCTGCGAAGTCACTCTGGCTCGGCGCGAGGCGTCTCGCGCGCGGCTGCTCCTTGTAAATACAAAACGAAGACACATTACACTACATACACACACACACGACCCCGAGAGCGTGTTTTCACATTTCAGTGTTTTATCACTTCCCTTTGGCCGCACGCCAGTCCGCATAGTCGGCCGATGAGAGTTCGTAGGCCCAGTGAAGCAGCGTCTGCCGGATCACGGGGCTGACGGCCACGTCGTCCCAACGCCCCGAGCCCCTCTGGACCGCGCCGCACAGCTGGTTGCGCCACCGGCCGCGGCTCGAGGCGCACGCGCGCCAGCGGGCGATCTGGCGCGCGTCGTCTGCAGAGCGTCGGCCGCAGAAGAAGCGGCAGTACCACTGGAACCAGCCCCTCGGGTCTTGGGCATGGATCCAGCCCTTGCTCTCCCACTCCCTCTGCCCGAAGCCAGACTTGACTCGATAGGCGTTGGTCGTCACGTTGTAGCGGCGCGAGAGGTACAGGCTCTCATCGGCCTCAAACCACTCGGCTGGGAACTCGGCGTGGTCGATGGCGATGTCGCGCGAGAAGATACCAGCCTTGCCACCTCGAGGGTTGAAGTAGCAGCCTCCAAAGATGCCCTTACGGATGCACTCGGCTGGCGTCAGCGACGGGGTGAACTCCGGTGCGTCGGCGAAGCAGAGCTTGCCATCGGATGTCTTGGTGCCATCGTGCAGAGCATCCCATCGCGGCGCGGGTGCGTCCGGAGGGTCCTCGAGCAGCGTGTAGCGCTCTCCGCCATTCGGCGCGGCCGCACCCACAGGCATAGTCCCAGCGCCGCGGTTGATGACGGCTGCACCGCGCTGCCGTGCGGCTTTGACCGCCGCGACGCCGGCGGCGCGGCCACGCTCGTTTGCAGCATCAACTACTGCTGAAGAGGCTGCGCGTTTCATCTACGAGGCTCGTCACGCTGCCAGGGTGAAAATACACGTCCCAGGGCCCCACAGCGAGAGCGCCCAAAACGAAAAAAGGCGGCGAGGGCACACTAGGCAGGCAGACGACTGGCACTAACACAAAACCCGATAGGCGCTCCAAGTGCTCCAACTTCAGCGGAAATCAAGGATCGCCATCCACGCTTCGGTCCTTATCGGCTGACAAACCGCCCCCCTCCCCTTTTGCCCCGCTTACCTCCGATGGCGGCTCGATCCGCGGCTGCCTCCATCACCTTCGCCGTCACCGATGTCGAGAGCGCAAGCTCGCGCAGCTCCGTGTGCGCGTTGACCTGTACAGTGTCGCCCTCCTCGTCCGTGTAGTAAAGCTTGAACGGAAGTGTGACCCCCAGCTCCGCCTCGAGGGCGCTGGCGAGCGCCTCCCCAAATTCTGCCGGCGACGACACCCCTCGAAGCGGTAAGCGCACTTCGCCCAACGCCTGACCGCCGCGCAGCACCCGCACGCGCCCCTCCTTTGGCCGCGCCCGCGGCTTGACGGCGCCGGCGCGCGCCTCCGTCGGGGCCACCACCGGCACCGCGTGCACGCCGCGCCGGCGCAGCATAAGCCGCTGCAGCACACCGAGTAGGCCACGCTGCCGGGCATAGTAGAGCGCCATGCCAAAGACGAGCAGCACTCCCCCGCTCACGATGCCAGCCGGCCCGCCCATCGGCCCTCCTATCACGCCGCCGACTGGCCCGCCGCCCGTTTCCGCCTCTGGTGGCCGTCGCTCCCCGCTCAAACGCGCGACAGTCGGAACTCGAGCAAGAACGTCGCCACCGAGCCGCGTTATGGGCGGTGGGGGCGGCGAGGGCGGCCGGAAGAGCAACGGCGGCGGCGGCGGTGAGGGTGGTGGAGGCGGCCGCGGCTTGGGCGGCGAGGGCGGCGGCGGCGGCGACGGGCTCGGGGGCGGCGAGGGCGGCGGCGAGCCAAGGCTGCCGCAGCTAAAGCTCAGCCGCGGCGGCCGCTCGCCGCGCACCGCGCAGCCAAAGGACTCACAGCAGATCCACGGCTGCATCACAAGTGCAAAGGTGACCGTCGTGGAGGAGAAGTCGACGACGCGCACGTTTTGGCACGCATGCTTCGGGATGGCGATGTCCTCGGTGTGGAAGTCGACCGTTACCGTCTTCTCCGCCTCCCACCCATCAACCAACACCTCCATGTAGAAGCCGCCGGTCCACGTGTCTTTGGCCGCGGTGTCTGGATCCTGCAGCCTGTCCGCATTGACCTCGGCGCAGCCCTTGGCCTGAGCAGAGAAGACGTGCTTCTTCTTCTTGGGTGCCGCTGTCACAGCCGCGCCCGAGTGCGCCTCGTTCCAGCCGTCGCTCATAGGCGCGGCGTCGACTTTTGAGTTTTGCGGCCGCGGGAGTGTGTTTGTCGGCGGGCGCTTCCCTGTGATCTGTGATCTGTAAAAGGGTCCGCCCCCAGGCGCATTTTGTATACCGAGGCGGTGCCCGGTGCCGAACCTGTCGGACTTTAGGACAGCATTGTAGATCCCCTGGGCGAGGGCGGTGGTGGTGTCCCCGTCGCGCGTCGGGAGGGGGCTGTCGCAGTGCCAGTGGTGGTCTACGTCACCCCGACAGCGGCCCGGCGGGTTCGGCTTAGGCCTCACCTGTTTTACGTTATTGCAACAGCCCCGTCGGAGCACGGAGGTAGCTTCCCTGTTCTATCATCACCTCCGTGTTCACTCGAGTGGTTTCACGCATCACACCGGGATCACAGTTCACGGACTGGTTGGGTAGTAGTCTAAGTTTCGAGCCTCGACGCCTAGCGGGTCTAAGTGTGCTGGGGTGCTTGCGCGCTGGGGTGCTTGCGCGGTCTAAGATCAGCGGGAGCCTCTTACATCGGCTAAGTCGGCCGTGGCACGGCCTGGGGCCAAGAGGCTCCCACCGTGATCGATACAGTACGGCGCTCCGCCCAAATTTTCTTCGCCTGCGGCGGGCGCCTACTAAAATCCGGATCGATCCTCCTCATGCCTCAGCAATTGCCGCTCAGCATCCTCCCCTTCCGATTCTCGTTGCTGCTTCTTGAGCGCAATCTCTAGCCAAACATTTCTCACAAACAGCCTCAAGCTCAAACAAACGCATGTCAGAGAAGCCTGTGTATGCTGGTCCTCTTTGAACGATCCGCGCGTGAAGGTAGGAAGCATAGGACCTTGTTGGCAGCAGCCAGCTTGTTGCGCTGCTTCGTTGCGATGAGCTGATTGGGATCACAGAAGTGCATATCCATGCCAAAGCACCGCCACGATCTTGAAGCAGAACACATCGCAACCGCATCGTCCGCACTGCCATCAGCATGCCGCGCCCGCCGCTTCGCCGCAGCCGCCTTACGGCACGCATAGCGGCAGCACATGGTACGGTGCGCGTACTTGAGCAGGACTTGCGCGCCGCAAGTAGCGCACTGGCCCTGGGAGAAGGCGATATGGCGTCGTGTGCGGCATACGTTGGTCGGGACGAGTCCAGGTATTTTTCGGGTAAACCTGGACTTTTGCAGGTATACCCGGGGTTTACCCGGAGTTGGCCTTATGTCGTCTAAGTTCATGGCCCCCGACCATACAGCGTCTAAGTCTGAGCCCGGCTCCGTGCGGGGGCTAAGTTGAGCGCTCGCTCGCTGCAGAGGCTAAGTGTAGAGGAAGAGGCAAGAGCCTGCCCTCTCATCAGCCCTACTACCCAACCATTGTTCACGGACACGCCCTCACGGTATATAACCCATTTAAGTGCCGCGCTAACACCCACGTGAAACAACCAACGTAAATTCAAACCTCCAACGCCGACACCTCTCGAAGCGGCACATTGATCATTGTATCTCACCTCTCTTCCACGCTCGCCTCGATCTGCCGCCCCACATGCGTTCCCCTCCGGCTCTGCCGCACCACCAGCCGGTCTCCCGGCCGCACCTCCGTCACGCTGCGCGCCGACACCTCGCCGCCGCCGCCCTCGACGAGCAGCCGCACCGTCTCCGCCTGCTGCAGGAAGACCTGCCCCTTTGCGCCCTCCACCTCGAAGGAGACCAACAGCAGCGGCCGCGGCTCGACTTTGCAGCGGCCGACGGTGAGCGGGCGCGAGCCGCCGCGGGCGTCGGCGGCGAGCACGCGGTCGCCCGCAACAACCTCCTCGAGGTACTTTGTGCGCCCATCGGCCAGAAGGACGTACGAGTGAACCTGGGCTCGCAAGGCGCGTGCGTCGGAGGGGTCCGAGCACTCTTGAAGGATCGCGACGGGGCGTGTGCGCGAGGCGGGCACCGGCCCGGCGTTGACGCGAAAGGGCCGCGCCGGGACAAGCTCGCCTTCGATGGTCTCGCCGTGGACGAGGGCGAGCAGCTTGGCGGACGAGCCAACGAGCGCGCCTTCACCCTGCCGGAGCAAGCTGGTGAAATCGAGCGCCACTCGGTCACCGACCCCTCCCGCCTGCGGGACGAGTCATGGACGCGTCCTGAACGCGGGCGGAGGGTCGGACTCGAGAGGCTCGAGGACTCAAGCCTCCACCGACGTGACCACGCCGACGGCTAGCCCCTCCGCCTCGCTGCCCGCAGCGGCGCCCGCAGCGCGGGGCTCCTCTCGCTCCGCCCGCTGGGCGCGCGCGATGGCGCCCGCCTCCCACAGCGCCTCCCCCTCCGCGTCTTCGGGCGGAGAGAGCACGAGCGCATCTGCTCCAAGCTCGAGAGCGAACGCGAGCCCCGGAACGTGGCCGGCGGTGAGCGCCTACTCGCAGCTGTGATGCGGTGAAAATCAGAACTCGCGCCCGTGCTTCGTCGGCGGTGGCGCGCCGTGGCCGCCAGCCGCGTCGGGGTGGAGTGACAGACTGATATCACGTTCTCTGCCGGGATCATCGTCCACTCGTCCTCTGAGGTGGTGTCGAGATGGACCCAGTTCACCGAGCCGACGGCCGACATCGCCGCCGCCTGACCGGCCGGGTCGGAAGCTTGGACTCGGAGGCCCACGCGCTCGCCGGAAGGCGTGAGCAGCGCCGCCGACGGCTCGTCCGGCGCCAGCGGCGCACCAAAGAAGGCGGTGCACGGCGGCGCCTCCATCCACTCGGGCGACAGGCCCGTGACGAGCATCGCGTCCACCGGCGACGCGGCGGCCTGCTCACACTTGGCGAGAGCGCTTGCGAGGTCGGGCGGGAGGATCGCCCGGAGGTCGGCCCAGATCTGCATCGAGCGGAGCGAGGAGGCGAGGAGCATCAGCTGTTCACAGATAGGTTGATAAGAAACAAGAAGCTCACACCGAGCAGCGAGGAGAGACTGCGGTAGACGGCGCTTCAGCCCGGAGTTTATGGGCGGGCGGGCGGGCGGGCGGGCGGGGGGGGGGGGTCTTTGTCAGTGTATGTAGCTCTTACGTACGTACCCGAAGGTGAACTGCTGACAGGGTTTGCAATGAGGAGCGATCCGAACGTGGTATTCGGGTGATCAGATCACTACCGCCGAAACGCAAGAGCACTGCGACGGATCGGCTCATGCTAGCATCCACCTACCTCGCGGGCCGATGTTCTGGCCCAGCGAGGCTGCTGCGGAGCACTCGCGGGCCGATTTCTGGCCCAGCGAGGCCGCTGCGGGACACACCGGCGGCTCGGTTCGCTCCTCAACGCAAACTCGGTCGAGCAAGAAGTCAGGTGTGTGTGTGAAGGCGGCGCGGCACGGTAAGGGTCGGCGGTACGGCGGCCACAGCGGCAACGGCAACGGACGGAAGGTAGGCGGTACGGCGGCACGGCGGTAACGGAAGGCAGGGGGGACGGCGGGCTAAACGGCAAGGGCGGCGCGGCACGGAGGAAGGAGCGGCACGGTAAGGAACGGCGGCACGACGGCAGACCACGCGGCAGCGAACGGCTGAGCATTGGGCGGCGGGGGTCAAACGGCTAGCGGGGGACGAGGGTGAGGCGAGGGTGGCAGCGGTTCGGATCACGAGGAAGTAGAAAGTCGGGCGCGAGCGGCGAGCAAGCGGCAAGTGAGTAAGGCGACGGGAGGGTGACGAGGCAGGGAAGCGGCGGCACGGCGGCAACGGCAGAACGGAAGGGCACTGGATGGCGGGTCGGACGGCTGAGCGGGGGCGGCAGCAGGAAGGAGGCTAGGCGGCGGTACGGCGAGGGGAGGGGGGAGGGGGGTGGCGGATGGATCACGAGGAAGTAGAGATTCGGGCGGGCGCGAGCGAGCGACGAGGCGGCGGGAGGGTGAGGCGAGGGGGGTGGCGGGTGGATCACGAGGAGGTAGAAAATCGGGCGCGAGCATGTGAACTGCGCGCGGGCCTTCTAGGCCCGCGGGTAGTCTCACCCCATCCCCAGGGCCTCCAGGGCTCGCACCTCTCAACCTCTCACAGACCAGCGCATAGCGCCATAGGACGTATTTTATTGTCAATAACAAGGCTGTGCACGAACGGCGCGAGCGAGGCGGCGGGAGGGTGACTAGGCGAGGGTGGCGGATGGATCACGAGGGAGTAGAAATTCGGGCGATCGGCGGGAGGGTGAGGCGAGGGTGATGGCGGGAGGAGGGGGCGAGGGCGAGGGCGGGCAAGCGATAGGCGAGACGACAGGGCGGCGGGCAATTTGTTCGGTCACCTCGTGCAAGCCCCACCCGGCTGGCGAGTGGGCTTGGGGGCGTGCCGCCCTGCTTGCTCTAGGTGAAACGTCTAAAGGACGAAGATGCACGGAGGTGCGACCAACTCCGCACGACGGGCGGAGAAGACGGGCACTAGACCAGGGAGGACTGGGAGAGTGTGGATGGAGGGACACGTGTGGTTCAGACGTCCCCCCCTTCGACGTAGTCGAGTCACTCACATGGAAAGAGAGGAAGTGTCCCTCTCGATGGAGCATGGAACATGCATGAGGAGAGTCCGTGGCTCTCGGGCGGCGCGCGACGCGGGCGCGTGGCGAGCGGCATGGCGCGTGTGCTCATGGCTCGGCGAAGGAGACTCGCTTCCCGTCTGATGGGGAGAGAGGTTCCTTGACATTCATGATCTTGTCTCGCAGCTCGAAGAAGCGCTGGGGCTTGAGCGGCTTCGTGAAGTACGTAGTCCGCGAGATTCTTGTCGCTGCGGACGAAGGGGACGCAGATCTTGGCCTCCTCGATCGCTTCGCGGATGAAGAAGTGGCGCCGCTCGACGTGTTTGAGCTTGCCGTGGTTCTCGGGGTTGTAGGCAGAGGCGATAGCGGCCTGGTTGTCGCAGTACTGCTTGGTGGGCGGGGCCTCGGGCGGGTTGATGACCTCGCCGTCCTTGACGTACGACTCGAGCTCGGCCTTCAGGCGACGGTAGCTCAGCACGTCTTTGGTTGCCTCGGAGGCAGCCATGATCTCGGACTGGCAAGACGAGAGTGCGATGGAGGGCTGCTGGACGCTGCGCCAGTGAACGATGGCCTGCCACATGAGGACGATCCACCCGGACGTGGACCTACGCGTCTCCCAGCTAGCGTCACTCATGGCGATGAGGTCGTCGTTCTCATGCTCGCCGTCCCGGCTCGGCTCGTAGGTTAGGCCGATGTGGGGATGGTGGCGGAAGTACTCGAGGAAACAGAACATCTCCTCAAAGACGTCGTCGGTGGGCTTGGCCATGCACCGGCAGAGAAGGCCGAAGGCGAGCGCCCCGTCGCAGCGCGTGTTGGTGACGATGTAGCTTGCGACGCCGCAGAAGCACTGGCTGAGGTGGACGTCGCTCGTCGGCAGGGTCGCACTCGGTGGGCGTCGTCACATGCGGCAATGACCCTTTCGGCAATCTGGGGCGTGTACGGCGGCATGTTGGCGTGTCGGACGGGTCCGCGTAGGCGACCGATGAGCTTCTCGCGGAACTGCTCATCGAATCGGCGGGCGTACTGCTCCTGCGAGACGTGGACGGAGCCGTCGTGGCGCCTGGTGACCTGGATGTTGAGGATATCGGAGAGCTCGCCCTCGTCATCGGATTTCCAGTTCTTGTCCATGTCGGCGATGAAGCGCCCGTAGATGCTGTCCTCGACGGGCACGCCGTCGTCGTCGGCAGCGTTGGGTGGATAGAACATGATTAGGTCATCGACGTACGTCGATCTTTTTTTTCTATGGGGGAGTGATAGCAACAGTGCTCTGTGCGGTAGTAGAAGACACTGAGGTCGGCCTGGGACTGGATGAGGCCAGCCCCGCCCTCGGCGCGGGGACGCGTGAGCCAGTAGTAGAAGTCGCGCTGGAAGCGACGGCCGGCCTGCTTCATCCCGTACAGTGGCTTGAGGAGGACGCAGATCTTGGGCTTGCCGTGCTCGTCAAAAGCGTGGACATGTCCGGCTGGCTGGTACATGAAGGCGATCTCGCCGTGCTCGAGGCAGCCCTGCAGGAAGGCGGCGACGAGGTCGCGGCGTCGCATGCGTAGTCCGCGACGGGCGGCGAGGTTGAGGAGGACGCGCAGGGTGTCCATGTGTAGGACCGACTGGAAGGTCTGGTTGTAGTCGACGCCAAAGGTTTGTCCGGGCCTTTTGCACACCTGTGCGCTTGGTCGTGTAGACCTCTTGGGCGCGGTTGATGTGCAACTCGGGGAGCCCGTACTCGCGGGCAAGGGCTCGAGCCTCGGGGATGGAGGCATAATACCACGTCGCCTCGCAGTCGATGCACTGCTGGCGAGTAAGGTTACCTCGGAGGAATTCGGCTAGGTGGTCGGGGTCGTTGGGCTTCCCGCTGTGGTTGCCCAGCTCTTTGTACTCGGAGGTGAGCCAGCCGCTGTCGCCCCGCTGGGCGTCCTGGGCCATCGCCTGCTTGTGCCCCTTTGGGTCTCGAGCTGACGGGACGACGCCGGCGGCGAGGAGGCGAGGTTTGCCTCCTGTCTCTCTGCGGAGAATCATTCCCTCGAGGGGCCACAGGCCCTGGTCGAGGGCGGCGGCGAGGGAGCAACCGTGGCCGTAGAGGCCCGGCGGGAGGCGATCGTGAGCGATGCCGGCAGCCGCGATGGCGTTGAAGGCGGGACGGCGACGGCTGATGGCGCCGGCAAGTGTCCCACGCCGGTGAGCGGAGGTGCCTTGGCACAGTGTGCCGATCTCGCCACAAAGGTGAGGATGTCGGTGTGGCGACGGCGGCGCCGCCGGCGACGGCGATGCACTCCTCGGCGAGGTAGCGACTGTACTCGCCTGGCTGGGCGGAGGCGGTAGAGTCGCGCACTGCCCGCTGCCCCTTGCCCTGGATTTGAGGCTGAGGGGCGGGTTGCGGCAAGCGTGCGGCGGGCGGCTGGATGTGCTCGTGCCCGGGAGGCGAACAGCTGTCGTCTCCCAGAGCCCGGCGGTGGGCTTGGCCCTTCCTCGCGCGTAGAAGTGTGTTGGAAGACCCCGCGGCCCTGCAGGATGCAGATGGGGCAGTCGCGCGCGGGGCCGCGTCGGGCTGGAGGCGTACCGCCAGCGGCGCCAGCGCCTCCGGTCTGCCGTGGCGTCCGTCGATGTTGAGCGGAAGACCAGGATGCGGCAAGCAGCTCGACGATCTTGGCAACGCGGGGGTCCTCGTCGTCGCCGCGGGCCTGGTCGGCTCCACGGCTGGCCGCGGCGGCCAGCGCGCTTGTCGGGGTTGGCGCCCCGGGCGCTAGCGCAAAGGGTGAGGCCGTCCCGGTCGTACCGCCGGCAGACCTCGACAATGGCGCTGAGCAGGGAGCGGTACTCGGAATCAGCGGTGTCGGCGTCCTCATCAGCGTTGCCGACCCCCTCGAGAACCTCGGCGTCGTCCAGGTCCTTGATGACGACGCTGCGCATCGCGCAGACGATGGCGCCCAGCGCGATGTCGACATCGGAGCGGAAGGACTCGCTGGTATGCTCGGCGAGGAACTTGGTGAGGAGCGCAGTGAGCTGTGTGGAATTCAGTCGCTCGTCCTCGAGCCAGTCGTTGACGCGGGTAACGCGGCGGACACGCCGCCTGAAGTCGGAGTGGATCCGCCCAGCCTGAGCGCCAAAGCCGGCGGCAAGAAGGGGCTTGACGGCGACGGTCTCGAGGATCAGCCTCTGGAGCTTTGGCCGGACACCAGCGATCGAGGAACGGATAGCAGCTAAGAGGGCAATAGAAGTGCCGCCAGCACCCTGGATCTTGGCGGCTTTCTCGCGGTAGATGGTCCGTAGAGCATCGTCGGCGAAGAAGGTCTTGAGGATCGCTTCTGCGTAGATGGTATCGACCCGCTTGATGACGCGCGGGGCGACGACAATCCCCGCAACGATAGCAGCCTGTTTCTCATTGACGGATTTGTGGACAGCTACGGTCTGCGCGAAGTCGTCGGCAGCAGGCTTCCGCGTGTCGTCGGCGACGAACTCGAGTACGAAGGTGGTAAGTCGGAAAGGTCGCGCAGCTCGAGCTGTTCCAGCTCGTGGCGCGCGCAGCGCACCGCGTCGGCGCTGGTGCTGCAAACGGTGGGCGAGATGTTATCAATGTAGACGGCGCCATTCGTGAGGAAGAAGTAGCCGATGCCCTCGGCGTCCTGTAGTCGGCTCCACTCGAGGAACGTGGCGAGGTTCGCCGCGAGTTCGGGAGGGAGGAGGCCGGGATGAGCTTGAGCTCGGTCTGTAGTGCATTGGCACTCTGTTGAGCGCCTTGCTGGAGTTCCCGAGTTTCGGAATGCACCAAGGTTAAGGTGGGCGTGTCAGGCATGGCCTGGGAAGATGCTAGATGGGATAGCGTGTCGGGCTCCACAAAGGGCTGACGCGACCAGTCGAGTCGCTGCCACGTGCAAGCCCCACCCGGCTGGCGAGTGGGCTTGGGGCGTGCCGCCCTGCTTGCTCTAGGTGAAACGTCTAAAGGACGAAGATGCACGGAGGTGCGACCAACTCCGCACGACGCTCGACGGGCGGAGAAGACGGGCACTAGACCAGGGAGGACTGGGAGAGTGTGGATGGAGGGACACGTGTGGTTCAGACGCACCTTAGGCCGCAAACAGCCGCACGGAGTTGTCATGTGAGCGCCGGAGCGCTGCCGACTCCAAGCAAAAGAAGAAAACGGACGCCACCTCCATCATGCACACGGCGCTCGACGCGACCAGCGCTCGCCAGCACGTCCGCTGCGTGCCGTCCTCGTCCGTGCCGCCGCTGCCGCACAGGTCCCTCGAGCCGGTGGTCACTCCGGGCGAGCCGATTGACGCGGAGCCCGGCTGCCTCCGAGGGCACGGCACGCTGATGCGCGACGACGGCACCCTCGTCGCGACGGTCTCGGGTGTGGTGGAGCGGGTCAACAAGCTCGTGTCGGTCCGACCGCTGCGGGCGCGGTACCACGGCGAGGTGGGCGACGTGGTAATCGGCCGGATTGTCGAGGCGCGCCGCCGCCGCATGGGGAAGGAGGGCACGCAGGATCGGGCTGAGGGAGCACACGCCCTGGCGCAGGTGGGCGCCAAGCGGTGGCGCGCCGACATCAACGGCCGGCAGGACGCCGTGCTCATGCTCGCCTCCATCAACCTGCCGGGAGGAGAGCAGCGGCGGAGGACTGCCGAGGACCAGCTCAACATGCGGTGGGCGGAGCCCGCTGCTGCCACACTCGCAGCTCGCTCGCGGCCGCGCCCCGCTCTCACCCCGCCGCCGCCTCGCGACACCGCGCCGCCCGCCGCCGCCCGCTGACGCCGCCCGCCGCCCTCCGTGCCGCGCAGCCAGTTTTACGTCGAGCACGACCTGCTGTCTGCAGAGGTGCAAGCCTTCTTCCAGGACGGGGCCTCGTCGCTGCACACGCGCTCGCTCAAGTACGGCAAGCTCTCGGGCGGCTCCCTCGTCATCGTCTCGCCCGGCCTCATGAAGCGCCTCAAGCAGCACTTCCACCTCTTTGAGTTTGGCGTCGCCGCAATCTTTGGCATGAACGGCTACGTCTGGGTGTCGCCGGACCGGTCGGGCGGCGCGGCGTCCGGCGCGGGCGACGAGCTGAACGACGTCTCCGACGAGCATCGCGCCGGGGCCGCGCCCGCCGCGCCCGCGACGCTCGAGGAGCGGGAGACGGCCCGGCCGCGAGAGGAGCGCCGGAGCCCTTTCCAGGAAGCTTCTCGGAAGGTGTCCCGTAGGAGCGGGAGAGGGTCTGCCGCGTGAGGAACGCCCTCGTCGCCCTCGACGCGCGCTGCGTGGCCGTCTCGCCCGCCACGGTCGCCGCCGTCTACCGTGCGCCTCCCGCCCCGCCCTCGCACGCACCAGCCCTCGCACTCACTTGCCCCTGCTCCTCGGCCCGAGCCGATGCCACTGCCAGCCCCACCGCCCCGCCCTCCTCCGCTGCGCAGGCGCGTCCCTTCGCGCGAGCCTCTCGCCGCGCGACATGCTGCTGCCTCAGCACATCGCCACCATCGTCGAGCCGGCGCGCGGCCATACGCCCGCCGCGCCACCCGCCCCCTGCTAATTGCCGCCCGCTCCCGCTCCGCGACCGTTCGTCCCTCCCTTACCGACCGCAGGCGCTCGCAGTGCACGGCGGCGGCGGCGCGGCCGCGGCGGCGATGAGCGAGGACGCTGGTGTCTAGGGACGTGGGTGAGGGGCGGCGTGTGTGGTGCTGGTGGGGTGCTTATAGCGCTCTGGGCCGCGTTCGCAAGAAGACTGAGCCGAGCTTAGTTTGTGGTTTGCCGTCCACGCGTGCGCGAGTCGCGATGCGAGCCGAGAGCGCGTGCGCACATTTAGACACACCCCCCCGGCCAAAACTCGCCAGTCGGCCGTCTTCCGTTCAGCTTCATACATGAACTTATGAAAAGCTACATCAGTTCGCGGCCGGGGTCATGTAAAGGCCGCGGGAGGTACGTGCGCCTCACGTCGACCGAACGCGGAACGTCAAAACGCAGCGCACCGACACAACTCAACAGGATCAGCTATGACGTTAACCGCCAGCGATGCTCTGATGTTGCTGTCGTCGGAACCACGCCTACAATATGAGCAGAAGCCTTTGCGCCGATTTGTTGCCTCTCTACGCTCGAGAGATGGTGCGCGCCTGCTCAAGCATCGGTCGACGAAGCACACAGGCCGGCTGCGCCAAAGAACGTGAGAATGCGTGGTTCGTTTTTCTTATGCTTCCTTGGAGCGACCACCGTGCGTTCGGCACCTGCAGGCTTCCTTGGAGCGCTTCCCGTGCGTTCGGCACCTGCAGGGCCGGCGATTTGTGTGCTCGTGGGACCACCATTGCAGCCAGGAAATGACGAGCGAAGCTTCGCAGAGCTCCTTGACCTTGATTACCTCTCACAGACCAGCGCATAGACGTATTTTCTTCTCATAACAAGGCTGTGAACAGGTTCAACTCAAAATTGTTCCACCCTGGCGCTAAAGTTCCTAGGATTCCTACCTCTACCTTCTTCCTTAGAGCGAAGGGGCGAACGATCTTTACCCTTTTTCCTCAGAGCGACGGGGCGAACGATATCAACCTCGAGCTCTGTGTCTTGCTTTGAAAGAACAGAACCCGCAGCGAGACCTCGAGAGAAGGGAACCCCGCCGTGGATTCCAGTGGACCGAAGGCCATTCTCCTCAGAGCACCCTCCTGCCTCGCCCTCGGCAGCATGCCGCTCACCCTCTCTGAGATCGAGGACATCCAGGCGCCCGCGTGCGAGCGGCGAGGGCAGCGACAGCTCGTCTTCTCACCTCGCTCCGCTCGCGCTAGGCGGACCTGATGGCGGACGACGTCGAGATCGACTTTGAAAAGATGAAGCTGTGGGACGCAGACCAAGTGACCTACTACTTTGAAAACGGCGGCGCGGAGCCTCCCGGCGAGTGGACTCCGCCGCCGTGCGTGCCGCTGACGCCGGTGCGAACGCCTGAGGCCTGCATATTCATTGCACACGGAAGCCCGAGCCGCATCCTCGTGCGATCCTTACAGGTGGACGACGCAACCTTCAAAAAGTGGTTCCCAAAGTGGAAGCCGCCCGCCGCGACGCCCAAGTTCCGGCTGGTCTGCTTCCACAACGCCGGCTCCGCCGAGTCGAACTACACCGGCAAGGGCTTGCGCATGCCGAACGACAACCCGTGAGCGCCACTCGCTAGCCTGCGCCACCGAAGCTGTGCCGCCTCTGCGTCGCTGCTGACGTCGCTCTCCGCCGCAGGTTCGTGGTGGCGTGCAACGAGCGCGGCGGCGAGCTGCTCGCCGTCGAGCTCCCTGGCCGCGAGTCGCGCCGCGCAGAGCCGCGTTACAGAACGCTCAGCGTCGCAGCAGAGGCTCTCTTCCCGGTCCTCGCGCCCAAGCTCAACGAGTCGGTGCCGTACGTGGTGGTTGGCCACTCGATGGGTGCGGCTCTCTCGCGCTCTCCCTCTCGCTCCGCGCTCTCTCTCTCTCTCCCTTCCTCGCGCTCTCGCTCTCGCTCTCGCTCTCGCTCTGCTCTCTCTCTCTGCTCTCTCTCTCTGCTCTCTCTGGCTTTCTCGCTCTCTGGGCGCCGAAGCCAGAAGACAGCCACGCTCGCCTCCCGCCCGGTGTCAGGCACGTGGATGCTGTTTGAGACGCTCAAGCTGCTTATGGCGCGCGGGGTGCGGCTGCCCGAGCAGGTTGTTGTCTCCTCCTTCCCTGCGCCGTCGCTGCCTGCGGCGAAGCGGCCGTGGCGCGCAAACAAGGGCATGGACGACGATGCGTTCAAGGAGGAGTGCCGCACGTGGTCGGTCAACGAGGCGGCCTCTCTCCCCCCATCCACCTCTCCCTCCCTCCCTCCCTCCCTCCCTCCCTCCCTCCTTTGGCTCACCCTCACAACCGCCCGCAGGTGGTCTTCTCTGCTGGCATGTGGACCAAGGGCCCGAACTATGAGGCGCTGATGCGCGACGACTTCACGCTCTTCGATGCGTACGAGTACGCGCCAGCTGTCGCGCCGCAGCTGCCGATGCCTGTCTCTGCCTACTACGCGCGCGACGACAAGAACGTCAAGGAGAGCCACGTGGCGACGTGGAAGGACATGACGTGCAAGGATTTCAGGCTGGAGGAGGTGCCGGGGAACCACCTCTTCTTCTACCAGTATGACGTGCGCAACAAGTGGATGGACCGCGTGGTAGAATCTCTGCCCGACGGCTTTATGTGAGACCGCACTGAGAGAGGATACAGCGCGCGCACGGCGACCGGAGAGAAAGCATTGTGATTGTCAGAAGCTCCTGCCTCCTCAGTCACTCCTCACGCGCGCTCACCACCTTGCCTTTTTCGGGGCCGGGGGCGATAGCCGATTCAGAGAGTCTCTTTATGTATCTCGAACACGAAAGTAATAGAGCAAGCCAGTTGGTTGATCATGTGTGCACCGGTTGAGAGATGAGAGGCCAAACAGAGGTACAACGCTGAACGCAGCAGAGATGGCACTTGGCAGAGCGGTGGCTGGAATCTCCCCTCTACCCTGTCACCTCCACCGCGGCGCCGGCCGCTGCGGCAGCAGCCGCCGCCTCGGCCCTCTCGTGCCGGTCCCTCTCCAGCCGCTCCTCGGGTGTGCCGCCGTGCGGCGCCGCGAGGCCGCGCAGCGTGTCGAAGAGCGCCCGCGCGAGTGCCTTGTCGCCGGCGCACACCTCAGCCCACTTGCGCAAGCCGCGGTCGGGGTCCGCAAAGGCGGAGAGCAGGTCGGAGCCCTTTCCCACGCCGAGGCGCGACGTCGCTGCGAACATGCGAGGCACGCGGGGTGGCGCTGCCGCGCACGGCGACGGCGGCTCGAAGCGAAGCGTCAGCGTGGCGTCGGCGTCGCCAGGCCCCGCGAGGGCCGCGGCGCCCTTTTTGAGCGTGGCGAGCAGCGCCGCCCGCCCGCCGCCGCCGCCGCCGCCACCGCCGCACCCCTCGCCCTCCGTGTCGAGGACGCACCCGACGAGCCTCCACCCGGGCGCGACGGCGTGCCGGCACGCGGCGGCGGCGGACGCAAGGGGCGTGCCCGTCGACAGCTTCGAGACGACGGGCGGCGCGTCGTCCGCCGGCGCCGCCGCAGGCTCAAATCCGATCCCCAGCTTCGCTCCGGAAGGCCACTGCGAGCGGCGAAGCGTGAACGCCTCGGCCGTGGGCGTGCCGCCGTCTGGCGTGGCGGCTGCGTTGATCGCGGCCGCCGCCGCGGCGGTGGCCTCCAGCCACCACCGCACCACCTGCACCGTCCCCCAAGTGCACGGGTCGGAGGGCAGCGCCGGCGGAGCGGATCCGTCAGGCGACGCGGCGCGCGCCACCGGCCGCCGCGTCAGCACCCGCGCGCCGCACGGCGCCGCTGCGCCACCGCCGCCTCCGGCCATGCCCACGATGACGCCGCCGCCTCCGCCTCCGCCGTTGGCGTCGCCCGCGCCGGCGCCGACGGCGAGCCCGACGTGGCTGAGCGTGGACATGGCGTGCTCCGCGTCGGCCGAAGAGGGCGAGGCGGTCGCAATCAGCACGAGGCGGCCTG